AGTAGTGAAAGTGTTATGATTAATAATATGACACTTGTATACAAATCCCATTCCCTAGTATTAATTCGTCTTTGTCAATTTGTTAGATAAGAATAATTTGTGATGAAATACAAACATCAATTTATTTCTCAGTTTGATTATCTTGAAATATCTTAAAGCAATGATAATCACTTGAGTGTTGGAATTCATCCTTGACCTAACAACTTTTGGTGTGTAAACAAAACGATTAAATATATGAATAGAACAGAATGTTGGTTATTGTTTTGACTACATTTTCCTGCTATCTTCTCCATAGAATGGATCTGTATCCACATTTTTATTTGTATTTTTTAGTTCACTTGAAAACACCAAGAAAATGAAGCTAATACGAATATTATAAACAAAACAATTTTTTTCTTGTGCATAAAAGTTCAGATTCCTTCCATCTAATAATGAAACTTCAGATTACATTTCAACATCAAGACTAATTATCGATATTCATCTTAATTCTAAAGTACATCACTGAAGTGCATACAGTTATACAACCATTTTAAAATAAACCAAATACGTAGGGTTTCATATTTAAAATGGAATACTCGGCACAACTCCTCATCTTAATAAAAAAAAACTAATTTTATTGAAAATTGCAGTCTACCATTTGAATGATTAAAGAGGAAATCTCTTCTTTTTTTAAATCATATTTGATAGTTAACAGCACTAATTGAAACTATATGAAGAATATTAGTTTCTGGGATAAACTTTCGATCAGTTAACAATAACAGGAAACAGTTGATCAGTTCATAGTGAGAAGATGCTAAATATGGGATATTTGTATCATTACGTCGAGACTTTCATGCTAGGGTTCTATTAAACATGTAGCTTAGTGATTTAAGACTTCATAAGATTATTCCTCAGAATGAAAATCATATCCAGTTATGTAGAAGTTTTCTCTATTGTTCTTTATAAACACTTAGGTGAACAATTAATCCAATGAAATATATCTTGATTCTGTTCTTTCTCCGACTACAACCCTGAGTGATTTTACTTTCTCAGCTTCTATTTTTATCTAAAATGATTTTTTCCTTCAGTTTATCACTTGATTTCATTCCGTGAAGTAAGTCCTACGATATCAAACACGTTTTATTCTAATAATATAAAAAGGGACATATTTAAGCAAGTACATTTTTTGAACTGTTTATGACAGCGTATCTCATTCACTACTAATCAAATTATTAACCTAAATTACTAGATGATTAGTAACGTGATCTTTAAAAAAAAGGGTTTTATCAAAATCATTACACAGGTGAACGAAGCTAGACAACTCAACAAAATTCACGAATGATATAACACCAAGTTGTTGATTTTCTTATCACTTAAAATATATTAAAAATAGAAGAATTAATTGCATCTTCCAAACTAAATGAGTACTTTTTTAGTTATATATATAAGCGTACTAAACGTTATTCTTGATGCCTAACGTAACGACGTACATAAAACCAATGTATATTACATCGTATCGTGTTAACTTTCAATAAACGAAACCCGATGATACATCAAAGAGAAAAAAATATCACCAGAAAAGTATGTCTTAACTAATGATGAAATATATGAACATATTAATAATATCATTTTTTAAGAAATCTCATTATAATTATACTTTTTAGTGGCCCGGGATCTGACTCCAAGTAGATCATATGATTGATTGTTATGGAATTACACACATGTCGGCTATCCTCGTATATTTCATTGACTTAAATCGCGTTGGTGAATAACGGAATTAAATAAGTCAAATGAGAGAATGGATGTTTGAATGCGTACATTTTGTACACTCATTGATTTGAACAGACAATCAGAGGAATGAAGCAAAAAGAAGAGAGCAAAGCGAAATGACGCGCAGTGGAGAAGGCGTGTGAGCCAACTCGATTTAATCAAGCGTTAATCAATATTTATAGCCAGATAAAAATAGATTACAGATATGTGGTAAATAGGATAAGGAGTGTACACACATACGCTCATCTGAAAACAGTCAAGGTTGATAAGTGAAAATGTGACTCAAGAAAAATGTATAAATTGGCTTGTCCAGAAGCTATATGGCATTAACATAGTAACCAATACCACAACTTTTAAACAGCACAAAACCAAAACAATGTGTAAAGTAAAATGCATTCATTTTGTTACATACCCTTTCAACAATTGCGAAACGATTACTATTATATGACAGAAAAAGTTGACTGATATTAGAAATTATAAATCCATTGAATATCTAATGACCTTGTCTTAACATATCCATCGTTTTATAAGACTTACGTCAGCAGTCGACTTTTGATATCCAATTATCATTTAGTCGGGTTTAAAATGGATTCAGGAAGTCAGTCATACAGTTACACAAACACAACTGTTCTCCATTGTAACAGTCAAATAAGTGTTAATTGTAATCATCCAAACCATGTCAAATTTAAACAAGGATCTACAATTACAATGATTGCAACGAATCTTCGCTAAGTAAACGACATAATTTGAAGAAAAATTAAAGATAAAAAGTGAAATAGTACATCAATCTAAATGATATACGTAAATTATATCTTATTTGAATATAATTAGATATGGGAATTTAAGATAGAAAGAGAAAGAATTAAAGAAAGAAGTTAATTATTATGACATCAATAATGAAAAAACTAGAAAAATTTTAAGTTAGCTGTTGAAGTATTATGTGAGGACATTCAATGCTCAATGCAACACAACGATAACAAATTTATGTTTTACGGTCAGCATTGTTATTCTTGTCGTTAATATGAAAGTATTTATATACCATCTTTCTTAGATATATAGTTCCCCCATAAATCTCTTGCTTCCTCCATCTATCTCTCTCTGTCATTTTCTCTTCATTTGTTGACAGTTTTGAAGATAATCTGGATAATTTTGGTTTCATATTTTGTCTTGATAATCTTAGACTCAATAAAATGGTTTATCTTTTTCTAAATCCAGCTGCTTCATTCGCATTTTTATCTCCAACTATTATATAAATGTTATAAATATCAATGTGTTTGGATAAATACTACCTATTTCAGTACATACTATGATTTTAATTTAATAATTATTCACAGTCTTTATAAATCACTTCTTAATCTGGGTGCATGACAAATAACATTTATCTTTAACGGATGAATTATTATTATTATTACGAATATTATCATCAGAAAAAAACAAATCAGAATTACGTGCATTTTCCCTTGGCGTTTGGTAGGGAAAGCCATATGTTATTAACTATTATTACTATCACTATTTTTTAAACGGTTGAGATATGAATATTACCATTATTATTAGTATTATTATTATTATTATGCGGATTATCAAAACAAAATAAGTTCAGTTGTGTTTTTTTTAATAAACAAATAAATTTTGATCATATTTGCTTCATTTACAAAGAATTTTATATCACAAAAATGTTAACGCCTCAGTAAACTGGAATAAACCGGTTATATTCATAGAATAATAACTTTTTCCCTTGATTTATTAATGATCATTTAGTTATAATTCAAGAATGGATAGACTTTTTAAAGAACAAAGTTCAGTGTAAAGCTTAAAAAATCTTAATTTTTTTAAACGTAAAGAACATAAAATAGTTAACTACTCAACTAACTAAACTCGATAAATTTCTTCAGTAGAGAAAAAACAAAAGAATCTCATAATATAAAACAAGAATTAGGAATTACGGATTATCAAACAAGGATAATTTATTGCATAAAATAAATCAAGTAGTAATTTGAAAATATTGTAGAAATTTGCATTGCAATGCTACCGAGCAGCACTTAGCGTTCACGACTTAAGATACTTAGCCGTTAATTTCCAGAAATATATATAGGGAAGAACGGTATGCCTGGATTTTGATGTTAGCTGTTTCAAGGAAAACACCAAAAGACGTCTGACCTAGATGTTTTGTTAGCTGATGATGCCGAATAACTAATGGTTATATCGGAACACGATCGATAGAATTCGACTAAAGCTATAGACTAAAATATGGCATTGGTTAATAGTCAGCGATCAACGTATGAAGTGATTGAAAATTATTACAAAAAACAAAAAGTTTTACTTTACATGACTATTCAACTGCTTCGTCTTTTAAGAGTTGACAACCGCAATTACTTGATATTTTGCTATCAGTGATTTATGGAAACAGAAATATAATCTATTTTCAAAGCCTAGTTCGTCAGACAGAACGGACCTGTTCCCAGAAATGAATTAGATTAACTCAAAACACCCACTGTAAACTATTGTGACTAAATATGGTGACAGAAATTCAACAACAAGAATAGATTCAGAATGTAAATCACAACTATCTGATCTTTTAAGAAACAAAGATTCAGTCCTAGGTCGTCCAGATAAAGGTGCTTGTATTGGGCTCATGAATGGCCAGGATGGGATAAGATTAGCCTCCATATTATCAAGTAATGACTAGATTTACAGAATCTAACAAAAAGACAACCGAATTAATTCGTTAGCTGGTAAAAATCCTTCAGAAGAATAAATATGAAACATTCATTAGTTATTACGTTTACGAACACAGTCAAATGACTGGATTGAAAGGGAACAAAATCAATAAGTTGTGCACATCAGTGACATAAGCGGCTTAACGTTTCAAAACTCAACTTTTTGTGTAAAACAACGTATACAAGCTCTCATCCTACCATGAGTTGAACACTTAATTTTCCGTAATCGGTAAACTATATCTTAATACCTACTCTGAATATTTTTTTCAGTCTTCTGTTTTAATTATTTCTCTATAAACACCACTTTTTTAAGCTTTTTTTTACATTTCTCATTTACGTCAGGTGGATGTTACTCTTTCACACATTTAGTTTCATCTCAACACTTAACTTCAACTTTTCAATAATTACTCAACCGCCTTTTAATACTTGAAATTATGTGATTCTCTTCAAACTTTACATTACACTACATTTACTTACTAATAAATATGAATTTTCATTCATTCTTATTCAATAACTGATTAAAAAGATACCAAAAACAATTCTATTCTTTACTAAATAAAATTAAAATATACTACATTGAAAATTTGTTATAAGTCACGTATTATCACAAACTTAAATCTAAGCACAAGCACACAAAAAAAGAAAATCGAAAGAAAACAGAACAACTTATTGTACAAAATTATTTATTATTTCAGGATCAGTGTAGATTTATGATAAAAACAAATAGAAATCGCTGTAGAATGCGTAGATTCCTTTTAACACATAAACATATAACAAAACATGAAAACTTCAATTGCTTTATGTATATATATAAATGTTTAACAATACACAAAGAGAGAAAAAAAGATGAATTAAATAACTGGGGAAAAAACGCTTGTACATTTTATTAGAAATAACTAATCCCCATAAACTATTGTGTACATTGTACTTGGGGTATAAACTGAATAGCATACAAAAAGACATATACAAATACACAGTAATAAAAACTATCGTCAATAGAAAAAAAAGGGAGGAACAGAACAAAAAGGTGAATAAGAGAGAATATATGGAAAATACACACAAATAATAAATTTATATTTTATATTGGGTAATAAATTTATCACAACAAATAATTTCTATAAATTGTCAACAGCTTAATAATAAAGTGAGAATTCAGTGTACACGCATTATACAAATACTTAATAAACATTATCATGAAAGAGATAAGATAAAGAGGTGAGAAAGAAAATGGGACACAAGAAATATTAACCGGAACAAAAAAAAAGAATAAAACTAGAGATGGATAAAGATAAAACAAGTTTACAAATGACACAAGAACACCAAGGTAAATGAATGGTAGTAGTGTGTGACGATGATTATTAAGCACAACATAAAAGATAATATATAATATAAACAAAACAAAAAATCTCTACTTCGAAGGAACTTCAATATGAATTTCTGTATTCCAAAAGAAGTGATACGATGAATCAAACATGTATATATATAATTCAACCACAACGTAGAAAACAAAACGAAAAACCGAATACTATCATGATTGTCAATGAAAGTATCATCAATAATCACACACCAAACCTTCCCACAACAATAAATTCATATATCGACGCATTAAGGTCTTTATGTATATAATTATTAGGACAGATATTTATTTCTTTAATGAAAAAAAGCGAATGAAGAAAGTGAAGTAAGGACATTTGCTTAATATTCTAGAAGAGAGAAAAATATTAACACCATTTTACTACTATTATACTGTAGAAGTTATGAAGGTGCACATTAGACAGATTAGTACACCTATTCAAAAAAAAGATAAAATGAAAACATATCCTAACAATAGTTATTATTATTATTACATATCAAAATGAATTGTCATGCCCACATATATACACAGTTAACTTGTTAATACAAATACATGTGTGCATGTAAATTAATTAAATGAAAACGAAAACTGATGGTTGTCTCCGACGGATGCGTTTCTTCCATCAATCAATATGGTTGATACATTGATTGGATACATTAAAGGGATTTTTGTTTGACTCGACCAAAGATAAAGACTAATACACGATCTATCAAAAATGAAGCTATGAAATCGAATGCCAATACTTTGAAAAACATTATACGGAGCTATAAAAAAGAAACCCAGATAAGGGTAAAGAAAGATTAGAAGTACAAAACATTAAAAAAAATTGTTTTCTTTTTCACTTTCCTGAATTTCAATATTTTAAAGATTGAGAAAAGTAGATAATATTTCGCAGTTTACACAGAAGAGGGAATGGTCTCAGCTATGCGACCATCAGAAACGAAGTATTGAACAGCTGTTTCGTCTTAGTACGAAACACCTTAGCAATGAGGATCCACGACCCTCTTCCCTTAGTATTTAATTAACATCATTCCGCGATGTAAACTAAGAAATTTAACAATCTATATAAACGCCCAATAGTAAAACCGTTAGATGTTGAACAAATACTATGAAAAAAAAACAATTTTAAGCTGTTTTAAACCAACTTGGATATGTCTTGGACTAAGTAATACGTGATTATTTATTGATACTTGATCGCCTTCCATTGAAGTATGACAACTTTCGTCGAAACACAATAGCGTCAGTTCCTGGCTATTAACTGGATATTTAATGCAAATATACGATTCATCATATTTTTTGTACACTATTACTTCTCTTCAATAATTGTTAGCTTAAGAAATCATTGAAGAGGCATTAAAATAAACTGTATATTTGTATATTTCAAAGCATAGATTGTATTGTATTCAAAAAGACATAATATTAGCTAAATATAAATCAGATAGTTAACTTTTCAAGGAAAGTTCGTTGCATGCATCGACCTTCACCTTTTATAACATGTGAGTGAGAAATCCTGAACAGTGGAAAATATGTTGAAAACAAACAGATTCCTTTTTTATATGAATGTATAGTACTTCTATTATATTGGAATTACTCAACATATACTTAACACAACCAATATAAACAATCTGAATTTTTATTCTGTACAATATGAAATTATAGGAGAATAAAATATTTCTTAAGATAAATATTAAAAGTAGAAAAATTAAAAATCCTCAAACTTTCAAATGATAAAATGAATATTTTTAATATAACACACACAAAAGAAAGAACAACAACTCACATCATAATCTAAATGAACTAACTGTAAAGCATCAGCGAATGGACCAAAAGGTAGAATTACAATTCCTAATACGGCGACAATCAAAGAAATCAACATTGGTTTATTCTCAATCAAAGACTCCATAAACGGATGACCAGTATAGTTTACAGCCAATGTGACTGTCTATAATGAATATGTAAAACATATGCATGGTATTTACAAGATGAAATATAATATTAAATATCTATACGAAATGAAATTGTAAGTAAATATTAGATGTTTAACTTTTACACTAACGTAGTAAACCAAATTGACTTATTATGATGAGTAAATAAAGCATTACGGTTTATACCACAAATCTTTGAAGCACTAAAAAACGAATGAAGTAGAGTAGATAGTGGTATGACGGTACATGGCAAATTTAAGGTCCAACAGTAAAGTCGTTTTGTTGACTAGGCTAGAACGCTTACTCAGTAAGGTATTTATCATTAATAACCGTCAACTCCAGCGTTACTGACTTTTCACAATGAAAAAAAGCTTTAAAGAAATGTTGATCCTAAAACAAATAGCAACCCTCATGCTTGGACGTACACGTTTATGCAAAAAGTAAGGAACCTCTATATCAAAAGCTATAGATGCAATTGACGTCCCTTGAGTTTTGTAGGAGCGCATCCGGAATGATAAAATCTTCATTACTAATCTAAATTATTGAATCAGTCAGCTGCAATGTAGGACTAGGCACATTTATGCATCAGTCCAAGTTGTCATACCTCAATAACACAAGATGAAAAAATTCATAAAAGTTACTTCAATGGCAGTAATACATGTAAGACAGCATAAAAGGATGTGATACAGGGAGAAAGAATTAGTTCGTAGAAAGAAAGATATAAAGTGATTTTAATCTCTTAGTTTAAGGGAAGACAAAGAGTATATACACCATAGTGATCGATTCTGAGCCATGTCACCAAGAATCTCCAACCATTGGTTACGATAGTCACGCGGACCCAAATCAAGTAGTCTACATCTACCAACATGGCTCAGACAAGAAGTTAGTGGCTTCAAGGACTGATGCTAAGTTCAGGTTTGGCCGCCCCTAACTTTTTTCCTACCATCCCCAGCACTAATCAGCATTGCGCGCTGTGGTAACCGGTATACAGGTATACGCTACTAAAACCAATTTTATTGATGCGTTTATTTACAAGTTACTTACTTCCATTCCGGTTGAAATGAGATAGACTAAAGTGTTCAAAACTGAAGGTTTAAATTCAGCATGTAAATCTATGAAATCATCATCCCTGAAAAATCAATTTTAAAAAAGAAATACATATTAGTAGTAAAATCGGGAAATAAATACTAAATTCACTCACAATGACAGATCAGATGAAATATTTACATAATTATATATGAGTTACGGTCCACAGAGACTATATATAAAACATAAATAGACGTGTATATATAAAACGATAAGTCCGACTATGAATTCTGGGTATACTCGACCCTGACTGTATTTTTGCGTTTTATACTATACTACTTACTAATAATAAATAATATAAGTGTTTAAAGCAATTAGTCCCGTAGATAAATTTTGATAGTGTAATAAGACGAAGACTATCAGAACGATGTGGTATATCAGCGTAATACATTATAAACAATCTATTCACATATATTCTTGTTAAGAACACTTTTTTTATTTTTATATATGTTCTTAACAAGTATATGTGTGGTCAGATTGTTCGAAATGTATTGCGCTAATACATCACATAGTTCTGATAATCTTCGTCTTATTACACCAACGAAATATGAGTGTTAATGCAAACATTTAGGCGTCGTTTCAATGAGATTCGGTTTCCTGAGTCATATGGTCTCATTGTAAAACTTCTATTATCTCTCGAAAAATCAGCAACGGCAAAGGCTGTAAAACGAAGTCCTCTTAGACTGAAAGTGTACACCGTCACTTAAATATTTCCTATGCGGTACTGTGATTATCAGATTCTCCCTTAAAAAAAGCGTTCTAACCGCTTTCTTTCAAACTTCAATGGATTGGTATAATCCCATATCTTTAGTGTTATTCCTCTTTCTTGTTCAGTTTTCATGTGTGAGCTACTATGTGGTGATAAAACAGCTACGATAGTAAAACCACTAATATATGTAACAAAACTACTTGACAAATTAACGGTGAGGATACCCCGGCAACTTTAATATTAACATTGACTAATATTTTTGGTCACGACAAAGCATTGTATTTTATGATAGACTACAATCTAAAGTATAGAAACTTCACCAGTTATATCATCCAAACTGGAAAGATACATTGAGTTTTAGAGGTACATGAACAGAGTATACATTCAGCTTTGGTTGATTTAAAAAACTATAAATGAACAGTTTTTTAAACGTTCTAAACCTCCTTTTTCATCGGTCCAAAGAATTTCATAACTTACACGACTAATCCACATTTCAGCAAAAGAAATCTCAATACACAGCCTTATAAAGTGCTTCGAATGTTAAAAATGCAAATGATTTTTTGAGAAAACTTCAAATTCACAGTAAAAGACATTCATTTTATTAAACTTGAACTACTCATGAATAAATATGCTGCCCATATATGGACGGTAAAAAGTAAATCCACTGATAACTATTTAATAGAATATAAAAAGATTTCTGAAAAATTTTGATGATAAAAGTGTAGTTTATTCGTGAACTAAGTACATATTATTCAAGATGCACAATAGATGAAATGAGAGGAATCTTTGAAATTTACTACCTTCCAAAACACGAATTATTTTTTCGTCTCGTTGAAAATTGTAACAGTTTAAACTCTAGAACATTTTTACGAAGTTCTCGGTTAGTCTAGTTTCAGTTTACGTTTTGTTACATCTAACCATGCAGAACAACCCATAAGAAAAAAATTTTCAATAGCCGAAAAAATGACATGAGACCATCTCAAAAGTAGGTGAATTTTGAAGTACATAACCGGAAATAAATTAATTTACAGAAAATTTTAAGAAAAAAAGATAAACCCAAAAGGTTAGATATAAAGCACTATTGTTGGATTCATCATTTCCTTACATGATTCACCACAAAGATCAGTGGCTTTAAGAACAGATTTCGCTCTTGATTTGACACTTAACGAAGCATTATCTGCTATACTATTACTGCACTTAATATTCAACGACGAAGCGAACTGGTTCATTTGTTCAGTAAACTTTACAGTAATTATAATTGGCCAAAAGTCATTATTAAAAAAATTGATCCAACTGGATGAATCTAAAAACATTCGAGCTTAATATCGAGATTATATTCCCTTGTAAGGATGATATTTGAAGGTGATTATAAAACGTTTATGCATAATCTAATTAATAAGTAAAACTGACTATTTGGATATATATATATATATAATATTCTAATCCAAATAAATGACTTACACTTTAGGCATTCTTAATTCAGCTTCCATGGTTAACAAATACAGCACATAGAAGTGAACAAGAAACTGTAAGGACACAGTAAGTAGCGTATACACATTAAATATGTTCGGTATAGGGCGCTCTTTAGAAAGTGCTTTTAGCGGCTATAGATACGTTAAATTTACAAAAAAAGTAAGAGATTGGTGAATAACACGCAAAACAAAAAGTTCTCTTTCGCGAAAAGATATAATCGTCCTTTAATAAAACAACGAAAGCAATGTTATCTGATTGGACGTAGTCAACAAGGAGTTTCTGCGATCCTGAACGAAAAGATTGCTCCTTGTATAACACAAACCCGTGCCAACTAACTTTAAAGTCTAAGATGTCAACATTCAGTTAATTGGGCTGTGACTGACCTGTTGTAGGACTGAGATATTTGCAAATGACTGACAAACATGATATCAGTTACCACTCGGTGATCAATCAATTGCAAAAAACTGATAATAAACACAATTTCGAGTGTAGTAAACAACGAAAAATGAGTCTAATAAGAATTTATTTTGAAGTCAATAAAAAATAAAATAAAGAGGAAAATCTTATACAAAGAGAGAGCTTACTGGATTAGTCAAGTGAATTTCAATCACTGACTAGAAAGTCTTATTTGACACAACTGATTCTAGTCCGTGAGTTGATTGCACTCAATCGATGGTTAGATGATATGATCCAAAATTTCAGTATTGTTGGTGTATCCTAACTTTTTTTATCTTCATCTAAGTTTAAAATATTTTAATCTTTAAAGATTATATTTCTTAAGTTTTGCGTTTTCCCTACCATTACAACTACTTACAAGTTTTAGTTTCCTTACGTTACATATTTTTCATTTCCTAGATTTGTGCTGGTCAAGTGTGGCAACTTTGACCAACAAAAATACGTTCTGATTTTTAACGTTTTTTATGATTAATTGCAAATCACAATGAAAGATACAATAGTTAGTTGTGGAGTACTAATTTCAAACCGTCTATAAAACCCTCCTCTAAATGGAAATTCTAAATATTAGATTTATAAACAACCAACAAGTTTACTATGAAACTGAATTGCTAAAAATTTTCAACTTTAAACAATTTATAACATTATAAGCAAAGGTGGTGGCTAGCAGTGGAATCCGGAACGCGTGTTTGGTCCCGTTTTGGACTAGTCAGCTGGATATACTTGCATCTCAGGGTTGATGTTCACTCTGGGACTCTAACCCAGTACTCCTCGCCTCTGACTTAAGGCAATATTGAGACCATTCTCACAGAATGTACATATTCCAATAACAGACTAACCACTTGCAGTCCTAAATATCAATGGGAAGATCCAAATAACTAATACAAAAATGAATTTATGACATCTTAAGTATGTATTAGTCATTATTTTCATGGGTTGGAATCATTCATCAATATCACTAACCTATCACCTATGTAAATTATCAACTTATCAACTTTAGATTTTTGTATTTAACGAACCTTCCTCAATCCAAAAAACAAAAAAAAACATGAACTCCGCATTCACGATCCCGGTATACGGTGGCGCAACTTCGTGGATTGGTTAAAGTTAGACATTAACACGAGAATGATAGGTCCTGGGTTCAAATCTCGTGGGTTGCGGGATCGTGGATGCGCACTGATGAGGAGTCCCATACTAGGACGAAACGGCCGTCCAGTGCTTCCAGGTTTTCCATGGTGGTCTAGCTTCAATTGACTCATGATTTTAATCTGTGAAATATGTTAAATATTTTTCTGATTAAAATTGTAACTAGGTATTAATATATCAATTTTAAAAAATAAACAAGACACAATGATTATGTTAATCATTAAAATATATATATATACCTTAGAGCGTGAAATGAATAGAAAACAAGCTGATAGAAGTAAAGCACGAATAGTTGCTTGAGTATCAGATATTTTAAAACCTTTCAGATATAAAACTGATGAACTATAAGCAATGATCAATGCATTTATAGCTAGAATTTTATACATTTGCAATGTAGTCACCAATGTACAACGTCCTTGCATAACAATATGACAGACTAAATAAAATAGAAAATACATTAGAACAATAAAAATAATAATTAATACACAAACATGAAAAATAGAGAAAATTTCGGGAGAGAGAACAAAAATATACAAATCTAAATATGAAATCAAATAATCCACGGATAATTATTAGGTAAAAAAGAGTTCTTTCTTTTTTCATTATGATGATGAATTCGATAATAACCAAAAAGATCGCAAACTGTTGAAGTGTTTTATGTGTGCTAATTTTTGTTGTTGTTTTGTTTAGATATCTGAAATATTGAAAATATTAGACTAATTGTTGTATAAATCATATGAAAAGAAATGTTAAGACATACTTCGTCGAGTTTAGTATTTAACGATCGATATTTTCGAATATCAGAGTATAATTCAAGATTGGAGTTCCTGGTAATGTCATTAGTCTATAAAAAAAAGTTTACCTACCTAATAAGTCTAATAAACAAACAGGGATGTTATTGTTACTTTACATTTTGAGACTGAAGGCCTTGTCATAAAAAATTATCTTACTATAATAACCTTTGTTGTTCCGTCTTAAATCAACTAATCGAATGAATTGTGTGTATAAAATTTGGATTAAATTTGCATATACAAAAGTAGTAAATATTAACTATGATCAATTTTTATTTCATTGAATGTTGTGAGCAGTACATTTTTATAGCTCTAAAATTTAACGGACGGGAGTTTATTTTTACAACTGTTTGATATCAAAGTATCAAGGGAATTTCATTTGTTAAAAAGTAGAGAAAATTAGAGGTAAACCGTACTTACCTCCAATAGGAGAAGACATTTTCGCAGTAAAAGGAGCTGCGATACTAGCATTACCAAGACGAACCACTGATACTTCTTGTTCTGTATCTAGTGCAGGCAAATTGAATGACGGGCGTACAGCTGGATTACTGTTATTTATATTAGCATTCGTAGAGTGAACATCACCACGATTAGCACGACTGAAAGCACCCCCATGATTTTTCTGACGTATATTCTTAGATGAAGGGCTTGCCTGTTTAGTCTCAGTTGATTCCACAAGAGAAACAGATGTACTCGTTTCATTAAGCAGCGCGACACCTAGTACATAACAAAAATGTGGAAATAAACGAATCCTATGTGTACTAAATTTATTAAAAAGATTAATAATTCCATAAAGATTTCAAAAGCCTTTTTTTTATTTACCTTAGCTAGGGGAGCTAGATAGTACAATATAACTCCCTTAAATAAATAAAAAATGAATTAAAATCAAATAATGTATAAACCTATATGCTCATCTACAGGATACAAAATAAGTAAAAGGCAATAATGTGTGAAGTATATCAATGTTAATTTCTTGTTCATAAATAACTAGCTGAATGATAAAATCAATTGAACACTGGGATATCACTACTCCTTAAACTCAGTAGAATAAAATCTTTCTTTTTTTAAAAAAAAGACAAATAGAAAAATAAAAAAGATGAAAACTGACCAACATGTGCTTGTTTTAATGCCCCAACATCATTTGTCCCATCACCACACATTAATGTGATATATCCCATACGTTTCAATTGAACTAGTATAGATTCTTTTTGTTTCGGTGCAACGCGAGCGTAAATTTTAGCTTTTGGAATTAATTGTCGTAGAAAACTAGAATTTGTTTTTGACAGATAATCGATTCCTTCGCCTGTTAAACAAACATCATACTTTTGTATAAGTTGTGAAAGTTTGGACTTAGCATCCTTGGTATTCACATCCAGCATAGGTAGTATAACAGATTCATCAACCGATTGCCAATGCCATTGTTCGTCTAAGATGAAAAAGTAGTGAAGAGTGAAAGAGGAGGACAATAAACAAACAATCATGCACCTCGTTAAGAATATAAGTACTAAGCTTTCACTTTCTAAAGTATTATGTACATGGAATTAAACTAGTAGTCAAACTGTTGTGGATGGGCGATCACCAAATACAACTTATGAAAACAAACCAACATCGATCAGAATGAAATTCTGTTAGAGCAAATCATTATTCAGTGGGAACACTATTCAGGGGATTTCAATACGTTTTTGCGATGATCTATGTTAATGTGACAAATACTCAGTTTAAAATATGTTAATCATTGTGTTTCTTACTAATATATATACACTGGGCCGACATAAAAAAAGCTTCATCTACAAAGCCTGGTATTTTCACCTCAGTAAATGGGGTAGGGAAAAGAAGAAAATACAAGTAGTTCCGTTCACGAAATTGAAGTCGGAATAGTGAAATTATTGGTACAGTCCCCGAATGCACTGACTGACAACGGAGATTTTGGAGCCGAAAAAAGGAAATATTAATTATTTGAATTCATACCAAATAGCGACACAGTTAATGAAAATGGATACTTTTAAATTAGAATTATTACTGGAACAGCAGAGAAAATTGATCTAGTTGGTGACAAACTCGAAGTACATAATAACAGCATCATCTAGTACACCAACTTTCAGTGCTGTATCCTTTATCAACGGTATTGCGAACAGCATTAACAAGTTCAACTATGACCCATATTCAAATGTAACATTTGACAATGTTAAAACAGAATAATTTACTGTAACAGAATTTCGACTTGATCGATATTGATTTTCTTCTCGTAAGTTGTGATTTGTGATTACATATCCCTAACACCTCTCTTTTAAATAACGTGATTCTCTTGGGTCCACTTAAAACTGAACCATCTATCACCGTTTTCAGGTTGACCATCACCTAGGACGTATGTCTGCTTGTTCTGGAGGTGCCGTCTGTTTTTCCTTCTAGTGCGTCATTCAAGGACCTAAATCAATCGTACAGTCTCAAAAGAACCCATCACCTGGTCACATTATATGATTCCATTCATCTGTCGATTTGTATTCTATTCATCGACTTGAACGGTCGGGATCTCACTTAATCAAATTACAGAAAACCTACGTCCTTCATAAAACAAATACAACATATCGAGATTAAGTGCTAAAATGAAGAAACAAGTATAGAAAAATAACTTTACCTTAATAACAAAATGGTAATTTATAATGTTTGTGTACTAAGACAAAATGAACTTGTTTAGTATTAGGGTTGTTTCAAAACTCACTGAATTTTATGCCACAACTCCTGAAATTAGTGCCTGATAATTTCAGTGACAGACGGAACAAAATATAAGGGGGTTTAATACGGTTTGTCATTTTTGTCACTACAGTAGTAGAATTGAATCGCATGTAACTAACCAATGTTTATGACCTCTTATACTCAATCAACCAAAATACAACAATAATTCGTGGACTTATCGTTAAATCTAGTAAATCATATCTCCCCTGAGTGATTCAACCAGGTTAAACTCTCCAGCAGTAATACAATACTTGATGACATAGTGTATCACTGCGACTTTTTTATATTTCCTAGCAAAGTCAAATAGTTTCCCAACTGTACAAGAAAGAAATTATTTCATCAAAGCTCAGAAACCATAGGAGAGAAAACAAGAAGCCAGATTAGCCAAAAATCATAACTGATGGGAAAATGATGGGAGTTTTTGACTAAGGTGAAAATCCCCATTCAGACAGTCAGACGAGTAGAGTGAAGAAATGTTTCTTTTCAATTAGATTTTCATCATAGCATATATATACTCACCATATATAGTGTAGAGCCATGAAAAACTCGTCGGAAGAATGATTCCTTTATTCGATGTTTTGAATAGTTTCATAAATCAAGTCACTTATCGTATTCTCCAATAATCAAAATTGCTTATACTCACCACAGTCAGTCATCTTCAAGGTGCATTAGTTTAAGTTCCCACATCAAATCAACACAGCGAGATGACAGAGTAATATAAGTAGTAGTGATGACAAAAATATTTCCATTCAATATTATATGTTTGATAATAGTATTAGTGGTAGTAAAAACAATTAGGAATGAGAGATATAATTTGAGAAGGTATGGATTCGTGGAATAGAAGAAAATGAATAGGATAATTAGGAAACTTAGAATCTAAGTGAAGGGTCAACACGCCTTTGCCATTGCAAAAGATTCTGAGTAATATCAACCTACGTGGTTACAATAATCGTCCAGAACCCAACCAGATAGCCTGCACCTACTTACATGATTAAGTCCAACAGTCAATGACTTCACAGACTAATATCTTGCTTTGGTTTGATGGTACATAATCCTTCTTCTAACCTACTCTTAACAACATCATTGCCCGTTGAGGTAGGCGATGGATAAGCATGCATAATATGTCTGAACCAACTCAGTCGAAATTTTACAAATTTACCCATCGATCTCTCATTTTTAACTTGCACTCTGCGTCTAACCTTAGCACTAAACACTCGATGGTTCCATCACGCACAAGTAACGCCGTGAAGACACCTGTAATCAAATGCTAGTCACCTACGAATAAGCTCTATCTCCAAAAATCATGTTTCACAAGGAACTGATGAGCAGTGTATTCATTTTTGAGTGGAGACGGACATCTCACCTAAGACACAAGTGAGGCCGTTGGTAAAACGAACCGAGATTTCCGAAACCATTCCGAAATTTTGTCAGACACCAATCCACCAAGGCTTATGAAACTTTCAAAATAAGTGGACGTTCGATGAGTTCAGCTGCTTCACCACTCACCATACATGAGAGATTTATAGACATTGTTGAATTTTTGAAGTTCATTGTCATCAAAATGAAAATACAAAATCAGTGAAAATTAACTGAGAAGCATTGACTAGTTGGTTGCACTTAAAACTGATTTTATCTCGTAATGAAAAGCAAGCTTCAAACTAACATAAAGTTAAAACGAAGTAAAGAAAATAACAAGCATGAGGTTAAACAACTGGTTAATATTTTCACATAGTTAATCTATTCCTTAACTAATCTCGTACTAAACAACCTAAAAAAAATTTTTATAACACTCTTATCAAACATTTTTGTTAGATGGATGATTTTCGAAATCTATAGGCTATAAATGCTTTAATAATTATATACTCAACAGAATTAGAATTTGAAACTATATCAATTACCGAATTTCATCAGATTCAACCACCCTTTTTAGTCAAGCAGTCATAATCAATGGTGAATCAGTCCTAGTTGTCATACTAAATCAGCAAGAGACGAATACTGACTAATAGTAGTATTAATGATAGTAAAAAATAATACGTATACAATATAAGTATCATAACGATAAAAAAAATATACTTACGTAATGCGTTTGGTGGACTTAATACGAGTACAGGAACATTCGATCGAACTATTCCCACAATACTGCTTACATGACAGGCTGTAAGTGGATTATCACCTGTGATCATACTAATATGATGACTGGAATAACTAAGATCTTTTATCACAGTCAAAGAGTCCGGTTTTAACGGGCAAGAAATAATGACGAAACCACAAAAGTGTATATCCGACTCAACAAATTCACGAGTTAAGTCTCTCACCTAAACGAAAACAAGTAAGAGAAAAGAATATTTACTAAAAGTCTAATGTTTTAAATTGACTACAATCAACCAAGTATTGTGAACAGAAGATTTGTGTAACTTTGGGAGGGAGAGAAACTGCATTTTTGACCCTGAAAACTACTCAATATTCACCGAATACAAATCATGTACACAAAACTAGACATAAAAATATTGATTTGGTGACCACATTTTAATTGTAAGACTTTGGGGTTATGGGAACCAATTTAAATTTCAAAAAATTGTGGTTGATAAGCTGATAAAAAAATTCAGTAGTTTTGAGGTATTTATCAGTAGATTTACTTAACTTGAGACTCATCTATCAGACGTATCGATAGGATTTTTGAACCCCATAAAACAAAGTCCTGTTCGGGAAGATGAGTAGTATCATGACTCTTCAAGCAAATATTCTAGCTTAAATCGTAGTATTTTTGCTAATGAGCTATAGCGGAGCCCAAGTGGTGGTGTGATTTATTTAATGGACGAATTTTTGATTAGTGAAATGAATAGAATGTTGATTGATAAATGAAATGAAATGATACCACAGTAGTTGATTGGATGCCTACCCAAGAGAACAAATTATTGACTTGAACCCCCGAATGAACTGAAACCAAAAACAAGTGCTTCCAGGTTTCCAAAGGTGGTCTAACATCAATCGGTTCATGAACTCGATCAAAAACTTAATAATCTCCACAACCCGTACACAAGACCACAAGCCAGAATAATAAGCTTTTCACACAATAAATTGACAAACAGAATATGAACACAAAATAAACATGATAAAATAACACGAGATTAGAGGAAATTAGTTTTTAAACAGTACACTATTGCCACACACATACACCCTATATGGCTGCTGTATTTCAAAGATTGGGTGATTTATCTTCTAAATTAACAAAATAGATTTATTTGAGTAAACATTAACTCTACAATGATGAATATTTATCGAAAAAAATTGAACAAACCAACCTGCTCATGTGTAAGTTGACCTAAGGTCTTCTGTCCCAAAGCTAAAACACGAGCACCCCGTCTAGCCATAGTAAGATAAGCTTCTTCATAGTCTGGTGGTGCATCGACAAGCATTGGGAGAATAGTTTCTGGTGATCCTTTGACACAGACCAAGTAATTTCGATCTACGCTAGACGGCAAATAATGGCTAACTACAACAGACATACGACGTAGTGTACTATCGAATCGAAATCTAAAAATGATAATGAATCGATATATCTAGTTTGATTTTATGAAAATCGAATATTTATTTGGTTTTTATAAACTTATATAGCACTGTTGAATATTATATTAAAAGAATTGTTACCATTTAATAGAAAATGGATATGCTCCCACTTTTTTTACAACACAATTTTCAGTTATAAAATGTACTGCTTTAGACAAAAGACAATTTATAAGCTATTTGATGGAAAAATGAGTCAAACGATAATGAAACTGTGACTTAATGACTAAAACACTGTCCTAATAAATGAGTTATAAGTTCGAATCCAGCCTCACTCAATTCGATTTGGCACCCAAGTGATATTGTTAACCTTGAGATCAAAAATATGACTCAGAGTCAAGTACAAGGAGCTGTACCTGGAATATTATTAATGAACTAAGGTTTGAGCGAGTAAATGGTATTGTTTACTCACTCCTCGTTTTCGACATAACATACATTGGTTCATATCTAGGATATGAATATAAACAGACGTGACTATGTAGTATTTTATCATTTACATATTTTATGAAATGAGTTTCTTTAAAAAAAAGGAGAATAACGGAACATAGCATAAAGAGAATTCAAAGTTATTGCAGGCATAGATACACATATAATGAAGGTAGTAAACTCAACATCTTATACAAACTTTCAGCGAAGATATGTTTCGCCACAACATTAATACATTACAGGATATGTTTTGGAAAACAAAACGTTTGAAAGATGTGCTTAAAAATGCTTTTATAGACAATGTATATACTACTTACGACATCAATCAATATTTAACGCTTTACAATAAACGAAATGCCTAAATTTGTTTTATTTTTGTAAAAATGTTTAGTTCAAGTTACAGGAAAATATAGATTGAATAGCAATATGATGATTATAAAAAATATAGTGCGTTACTAAACATTTACTTACCTTTGACATATTTTCAATGGAGAACTACGTGGTATAGTACGACCATATACTTCATTCTGATCATTCAACGACCAACTAGTCGATGCTAACATAGCTTTTTCCATAGGATCACCAATCAGACCAGAAGCACTAGTATTTATCAAAGAATGACAACTAGCTAACACTTGGATGGTAGATAGTGGACATTGTTTTACTTGTAGCAATTTATTTGATGGTTGATCACTAAAAGAAAATAACACACAAATACATGAAAACTCCATGAGTAAAGTCAGTCAGTAACAACGTAGAACTTCGTACGTACGTACATCAGTTCGAGTTGCCACGCCACATTAGCACAGAGATGCAGTGGTCGACTCAAATCCCATAGTGATAGAGGTAGTGAAAGTATAAGCAGTAATCAGAAACATTAGGGTTTGAAGATGTTGTTTAAAGAGTATAATACAGTGAAATAAATTTGGAAAGAGGAAAAAAGGGACATGAAGAATTCAGAAGATTAGAATTTGGGAGAACACAAAGAGTGGATGCACCTGCGCCATTGCAAACGATTTTGAGCCATGTCATTCAGGGTCTCTAACCATCGGTTGCTATCATCTCGTGGTCCCCAACTAGGTAGTCTACACCTACCAACATGACTCAGTTCACTTGTCAGTGACTTCATGGACTTGTGCCGTGTTTTGATTTGGCCGCCCCTAGCTTTCTTCCAACCTACTCCTATACCACTGAGCATAGCACGTCGAGGCAGTCGGTGGTCGGGCATACGTAACACGTGTCCCAGCCATCTCAAATGATGAAGTTTCAATACTTCATCAATTGATTTGCCATCCTTATCTAGTACCCGTTTCCTAACAACTGTGTTACTTACTCGATGGTCCCATGATATACGAGCAATGTTTCGAAGACACCTATGATCGAATACTAGTAACCTATGAATATCCTCTACTCTTACCGGCCATGTTTCACTGCCATAAAGTAGGACGGGACGAACTGCATGAACTCCATGAGTAAAAGAAAGTGGGATAGTAAGACAATCAGTTTGAAGAAGAGATACTGAAACCTATATCTAAAAGTTATATATGAACGCATAATAACGATAACGAGCAGATTTACACAGTTCTAGCTATCGAATAATCTCCTTTATTGGTAACCATCGCTATTTGTGTAGAGACTCGGATATTGCTAAAACGCTAAAACCGGTGATTTTCTAGGGGGATCACTCATGAGCCTTTGATCCAGAGGTTTAATTCACAAAATAGTACACTGTCATCAAACGGTGACCGGTGACCGTTGCACGCTCTAATTCCACTCACTTTCTCGGGATCCTGAAGTACCGAGTAAGGCCTACACGAGAGGAGCAGTAAACGCAACATCGAATGATGGTATATCAAGATGGTATTTGTGTGAGGTCCAAAAGACGATACATGATATGGGACGTTATAAACATGGCTCATGGTAAAAGCCAGTTGAGATTTCTTTGTAGCTTTCTTGTACATCCTTCATAAAGGTAGGAAGAAACTTCCTAACTTCCTATCTACGTAGTCCGCATAGCCCTCACACACCCAATGTAATTAAAAATTAAATACAACCTAATGTAGGTCGTTATTAAGTTGTGATGTAAAATAGTATATATATATATTTTTTACCAGGTACAGATTCATGTAATTAGCTTCAAGCTATACTGTGTGACATCTAGTGATACTATCTGGTTGCCCATACCGTAAGTAGATGAAATGGGGCTCGAACCAGCGTCTAAGCGACTGGAGGTTGGGCCACCCCCCAACCTCTGAGCTACCGATCCACTAAAGGATTTTCAACATCTTTACAAGATTTGTTTTACAGTTATTAATCAATCACAATCTCTAAGAAGGGACTAAGAAAATTTGCGCCTTATGGTTCATGAGACTGTCATATGAATAAAGTATTCCATGATTAAGATTATGAAGAAGCGAAATACCGCGCTGACAACGAAAATTTATGCTTGATAGTAAATGAAACCGGTCCATTTATAGGCAGTGAAACTATACCATATTGCTGAACGACACAGGTTTAAAATGCTGACTTATACCTTTATATGTGAAATTGATGGCTGGGGATGCTAGATCCCCAGAACTCAATAAATGTCATATTTTTGCAATTTTATTTGGGAAATGTGAATTTCTTGTTTTCGCACCAAAAGCGCCCATTTTCACCTCCACGTCGCATTTCCCACTTGGGAGGGCCTCAGATGTCATTGGTTCGTTGACCCTTTTAATATGCTGTTTTGTGATGTTTCCCAGGGATATTTTTATCCTGTACTTATACGCTTAGGCCGTACTTGGTGTTCGTGCTTCTGGCTGCCTGTGAATACATTTCCCTCTTCTGAATCTGGACTTCCATCTCTAGTTAGCGAGTCTGGGACACATTATGACAGAGTTTTCATTCCGTTCGCAGACTAGGTAGATTCATAATCTCTTCAAACATAGCAGAGATCGATCCTGGCTGCCATTCGATAAAATAAAGGCATTTGAAGGAAATACCTTCAGACAATAATTAAGTCGCTTTCCATTGACGAGAGCGAGTCTATTATACCATCCCTGAATATTGTATGGATGTAAAGGCACTCGAGATGTTCACTTTTTATGTAGGTTGCATATGGATCATAAATCCATCAAGATTGAGTTCCTTTATTATTAGTAATAAACAATAGTCGAACCATTAAACTTACAACCAAATATTATCACCAAGCAATGACAAATTCGTACTAAGAAAACACGAAAACGTCCCTTGAAATTTAAATATCAATTGATTACCGGCAATCTACATAAGAGCATCAAAACGGCGTAAATCTCTGCGTACGATATACCCACAGTTGTTAAAAGAACACGTAGTAAAACCCAAACACCAAAACCACCGACTATTGACTTACTTTAAACCTGTAACTCCTTCAACTACGACAATATCTTCCGTCAAAGTACCAGTTTTATCAAAGGCACAAATATCAATCTTACCAGCAAATGGAATTCGAAAAGGTTCAGTACAATAAACCACTAGAAAATAAATTACAGTGTAAATAAATTACAACTGACAAGATAAAATAACTTTAATCAATCGTAAGACTCAAACTTATATCTTATAATTACCTCGTTATTATTTGTATACTTCCTACTTGCCCCCAAATGCCCTGGTACAGCCGAGTGGGGAGAGTCCGCTCTCCATCTCGAAATGCTCTCACACGGCCACGTGTATACAAACTCCGCCAGGGAAGTCCTACTCACTGCCTTCTTGTATCGGAGGTGTTGTTTATGAAATTGAGAGGACGAAAAGCGAATGTCCGACGCTTTATTTATTTATTTATTTATTTATTTATTTATTTGAACACATAATTATTGGTACAGGAGGGCACCAAATACATATGCGTCACACAAAACAACGAGAATGGGAAGAGAAAAAATAGAAGGTAGGGAGCGTAAAAAAAGAACAATAACGATCAAATTAGTGCAAGGTAGTGTAATAATAATAATAATAATAATAATATTAATAATAATAATAACAATAATAATAATAATAATGACAATAATGATAATAATAATAATAATGATGATAATAATAATAATAATAACAATAACAATAATAATAATAATAATAATAATAATAATAATAATAATAATAATAATAATAATAATAATAATAATAATAATAATAATAGGGAAACGGAAAGGTACAACTAGGAGAAATCTTTCAGTTAAGGAATGTACAACCACTTTTTATGAAGAAAGTAAAAGAAAATTACAGCATGATCGCCACTGGATTCTATTCTGAGCCATATCTGATAACGTCTCTAGCCATTGTGTAGCACCATCTCTCGGAACCCAACCAGGGAGTCATGAAGGACCAACACAGGCCAGCCCTTAGCAGCTTTCTTTCATACCACGACACCATGTCATGCACTAACCACCTCTCCGCTTTTCCCAACCAGTCCCAGAGTCGGCAAATAATGCACGACGTGGAATTCTCTGGGACGACATTCGTAGAACATGTCCAAGCCACCGAAGTCGGTGTTTCAAGATGGTGACACCGATTGCATTATCATCTCTGTGCCCGAACACACGATGCCGAACCTCTGCATTACTAACATGGCGTTGCCACTGAATGTCAGCAATCCTTCGGAGACAGCGATGATCGAACACAGAGAATCGTCTAACGTCCTCAACTCAGAGTGGCCAGGTTTCACAAGCATAGAGCAAAACTGCTCTCACCGACGCGTTGTAGATCCGACCTATCACAGCCAGACTAATATCACGAAGGCGCAGACCAGGGCATGATCAGAGTCCAGATAGGTACTCCAAAAGGAGCGGCAGTCTTGTACACAACCACGCCTGCGGTAGCTGATCGCGATGTGATCAATCTGAGTCCAGGCATGAGATACAGCGGGAGGACGTCAGGTGGCACATCGGCGATGACTGCGCCGAAAGTTAGTGCTAGCCAGAAACAGGTTGTGGTTTGTGCACAGTTGCAGTAGACGGTCCCCGTTATCTGTCCCGCGACTAACTAGTCCCTATAGGCCACCTAAACGACTCTCTTCTGTGCCTAGACGCCCGACCTGAGCATTCAAGTCTCCGGCTAGTACTACAATATCTGTCGAACGCACTTTTTGGAGAACAGTTAACTGGTGATAGGATTCATCCCTGATTGCATCCGGGCTGCAATCTGTCGGGGCATAGGCGGAGGTGACGAAAAGACATCGTTTCTCACGCCGATTTCTTCTCACTTTGATGGAACTTTCTAATCTAACAGCACATAACCGACTGTTAATGGGGATCCAATCGACTAGTGCTGCCTCAGCTCTAGCGCTTAGTGCGACACCAACGCCAGCAAGACCAGACGAAGATGCCACAGGGTCCCCGGATAAGCGCACGTAAAACAAGCTTTTTGAAGTGACAGATAGAGAGCGAATTTGTAGTACTTCACCAGAGTCTTGAATACGGGTCTCGGATAGACAACAAACGTCGATATTAAGACTTTCCAAAGACATAGCCAGCCCTATCTGTTGTTCGACCTGCATAAGTGTGCAAACGTTGAAGGCGGTCAGTTTGAATGGTTCACGTGGTCTCAGGAAAACTGCTTTAGCATTCGTATTTGGATGGTAGCATACAATTTTCAACCAGGCAGTGACTCGAGAACGTTTAGATAGAACCGACTTTCCACCATAGGCGAGTTGCTGTATAGGTCGAAAAATAAGGATACATAAAGTGGGAATAAAAAAGAGTGAATAAATGACGTGGTAAATAATAATAACAATAATAATAATAATAATAATAATAATAATAATAATAATAATAATAATAGTAATAGTAATAGTAATAATAATAGTAATGACAATAATAATAATAACAATGTGAATTGTTTGACTGTAAATCGAAGCGAGAATAGAATTTTCAGTAAATGTAGTCATTTTCATTTTATTTATGTGTGGGCTGTGATACTGCCCAGGTGCCCGGACCGAAACAGGTGGTTTTCTTAAGGGGCCACACCCCGAGCCTTTGACCTGAAGGTCTGACTCACAAGGCAGTGGATCATCGTAAGCAGATGCAGTCCCATGGTAGCCGGTGACCAACGATTGGTTCATACGCCATTTGTTCCCTCAGGATACTGGAGCCCATGTGCACCATTGGTTTGGGATCCGGTTAAAGGTAAAATGTCAGATCTACAACGCGTCGGTGAGAGCAGTTTTGCTCTATGCTTGTGAAACCTGGCCACTCTGAGTTGAGGACGTTAGACGACTCTCTGTGTTCGATCATCGCTGTCTCCGAAGGATTGCCGACATCCAGTGACAACGCCATGTTAGTAATGCAGAGGTTCGGCATCGTGTGTTCGGGCACAGAGATGATAATGCAATCGGTGTCACCATCTTGAAACACCGACTTCGGTGGCTTGGACATGTTCTACGAATGTCGTCCCAGAGAATTCCACGTCGTGCATTATTTGCCGACTCTGGGACTGGTTGGAAGAAGCGGAGAGGTGGTTAGTGCATGACATGGTGTCGTGGCATGAAAGAAAGCTGCAAAGGACTGGCTTGTGTTGGTCCTTCACGACTCCCTGGCTGGGGTCCGAGAGATCGTGCTACACAATGGCTAGAGACGTTATCAGATATGGCTCAGAATAGAATCCAGTGGCGATCATGCTGTAATTTTCTTTTACTTTCTTCATAAAAAGTGGTTGTACATTCCTTAACTGAAAGATTTCTCCTAGTTGTACCTTTCCGTTTCCCTATTATTATTATTATTATTATTATTATTATTATTATTATTATTATTATTACACTACCTTACACTAATTTGATCGTTATTGTTCTTTTTTTACGCTCCCTACCTTCTATTTTTTCTCTTCCCATTCTCGTTGTTTTGTGTGACGCATATGTATTTGGTGCCCTCCTGTACCAATAATTATGTGTTCAAATTAACAAACAAAATAAATAACAAGGTTTTCCGAAAGAGGAAGTTCGTGTTACATTAACGGGTGATATATGAAATCAAGCCAACAAATTAATTAATTAATATAACTAAGAAGCAGCATCAGAAAACGCTCAAAATACAACCCATTAGCGATCATGATTTGACTTCCTATTGTACAAATCACTGTTCAACAAACTACACCCAAAAGTCTAAGGTTGTCTGATGTCCTATTTAGGTATCGAAACTCAACAGAACTAAATTCACAAAATGAACAACCTGAAACTCGAAATTAATTGTACTAATATATAAACAGTTTAGATATCTTATGTGCACATGGAGCGATGAATTTGTGGTTGGAGGGTTCAACTTAAAGCCAGTAGTCCTCAGGTTTGAACATGGATCCACCTGTGATTTAACCAAATGGGTAGTATCATTAACCCATACATCTAGAGTTCGACTCATACCCAAGTACTCAGCGAATGAGTTAATTTGGTTTTTGATTTGACGTGCTTGTTTTATTTGCCTTTTATTCGGTTCTACAATTAAAGTAGGAATTAGTTTACGCGGAGAGGAAACAATAAAACCTTTATCTCCACTAAAATAGTTTATTTATTAAGTAGATCGCAAACTAAACAACATTTAAATCTTCATAAGTATGAGATTAAATTCAACTAATATGTAGATTAAACAGTTACAAAATATAACACTTACAAAGTTTGCACAATGCAATCAAAGATGAATTCACGGCTAAAGACAATTCTAGTGGGAGTTCCTGTGGAATAACAGATGTTAGAATGAGAGTACATTCAAGAAACAGTTTATATCGATTCCGACGGGGATCAGCTGTACCTGTTCGAAAAGATATTTAAATTGAATACAAAGCTTATTGATTGGTGACACATTCAGAAATTATTGCATACATAAAATATACCTATACCATATGTTTAAGAAGTAAAATTATTTTAATATTGATATTGAGTATTTAGATATTATCTATAACAAAGTTGGTGTTCAGAAATGAAACTCAGAACACATGTTACGCCCTTCTTGGGACTTGTCAGCTCGATACCTCTGCATATGTTAGTGTTCGCTGAGGGACTCGAATCCAGTACCTTTCAATTCAAATACCCAACGCACTATTCACCTAGCTACTGAGTTCAGGCAGCCATTAACTTGTGTAACGGGGATGAATAATAATTCAGTTGTAAAGGTTTGAATCTCCTCATTATCGATGAATTCAACTACTAGCCACTATCCAACTTTGCTTAAAAATACCTCTGATTTAATCTCAATATAGAGGCAATCCGCTCAGGACGCACATATGCTAAAACTGACTGATCAACTGCAGTCTTTAACATTAACAACAGAAAGATCTAAACCTTCACAACCGAAATATCATACATAGTAGTTCAAAAAAGATCTGTTTACCATTGAAAAATTCGAGTCAGCAGTATTTTACATTTGTATCTATAATTCTACTAACTAGATTAGACATTAATGTTTTCGATGTATTAGTGAATTTCCCACACAGTTTATAAAGGATGAAAATTAACAAACGTCCTCTGATAAAAAACAACTCGTATAGAAACAGTAGCAGTAAAATGAAGATAACATGATATCTACTGGGAAGACATGTTAATTATTATTAAAAATGAAACTGGTCTTGATATTACGAAGTAGATTGAGACGTTAAAATTGACGTCATTGTATTATCACTTTGGATTATTAACTTTTAATTAGTTCTGACCCTTTGGTCTTAATATAAGCCTGTGGGTAATGACTAATCGATTTTCAGTTAGTATCCTCTAATAAAAGGTTGGATAAAAAAGCCACGACGACACAAGCATCAAAAGGCGGATTTAATAAAGTAATAAAATAACACCACCAATATACTGACTAAATATAATAGATAAGACGGGAAATTTACGCCACCCCTCCACCACACTATTCGTCTTAAAAAGATCTTTTGCAATGGGACAATGGATATTAGACAGTACAATTTAGAAAATTAGATCGCTGTGGCGCTTGTGTCTTGTTAGCATCCTGATCCGGGTATCCTCAAAGTAATTTGTTAATACACTTATTTCCTGATTATGCTCCATATAATTAGTTTCCTTTATGAATTTAGATAAACCAAGGACGACGACTGACGTAAAACAATATGGTTTCACTTTTAGTCTGTGGTTTACTTTCAGTTGCTTAGTAGTGCATTCGTATCAAAATAAGACATAATGCTAAATGAAAAATACTGGTGGTCGAAAATTTGAAATGGCGCAGGTCATTAGCACTATAAAGATATTGCATAAAGTCATTTTAAGACATAACAAATATAAAGGAAACGAGGCAGTTATTATCTAGAATTCGGAAAATAGTAAGATAAACCTTGTAATCATTACACAAAATTTGAAGAGTATGCATAGGTTTTAAAAACTGAGAGGATGAAAATCACGGACGAGTGGTGAAGTGATAATTGTATGAAGCATATACGAAACCATAAACTTTCTTGTAGTTATCGACTAGAGAACCTATTTGGCAATTCTAAATAAGATTTAAGCATGAAAAGTTATATCACGTGGAACACTACAAAACATCTATAAACATTTAAAAATGCCTGATTTACTGACTCATGACATTTTAATACAAAAAGATTCGGCAAATATCACCAAATCACTCAATGATTGCAATGGAAAAGTAAAGTATCTAATCCCACATAAAAAATACAAAAGGCAGACAACAGCTTTTTATTGTGAAAAAGGACTTACCTTCTATCCAGACATAGGCTGATGCAATCAACGCGAAAATAAGTAAGAAGGCTATGAAAAGAAAGCTTTCAGCATTATTTGCTGTAACGGCCTTTACACTATACATTATAGTTTTCAGTAAACGACCTTGTGAAGTACTCAAACCCGTACGAAGTACAAAGCAGATGCAACCATTGTCAGGTGCTGAGAAAAGATTAAAAATAGGTTACGACAAATCCAAAGTTAAGTGTGACGAAAATCTACGAAATTCATCAACTACATGAGTTAAATTAGCCTTAACAATAATTCGAAAATAAAAATCCAAATACGCTTAAAATTTCCATTATTAATATTGTTATTATTATTATAAATGCAACCTTATTATCAAGTAAACGTTTGTGTGCGCAGCTTTAAGCGACACTCAGTACGAGGACTAATGACAGTCAGTCAGCTAGCTACAACGTAGGACTAGGCACATTTGTGCATCAGTCCAAGTTGCCATACCTCAATAGCACAAGATGAAAAATTCATAAAAGTAGTTACTTCAATGGCAGTAATATATATAATACAGCGTAAAAGGATGTGATACGGGGAAAAAGAATTAGTTCGTAGAAAGAAAGGCATAAAGTAATTTTAATCTCACGGTTTAAGAAAAGACAAATGGTGTATACACCTACGCCATTTTGAGCCATGTCACCAAGAGTCTCCAACTACTGGTTACAAAAGTCACGCGGACCCCAATCAAGTAGTCTGCATCTACCAACATGACTCAGACCAGAAGTTAGTGACTTCAAGGACTGATGCCAAGTTCTGGTTTGGCCGCCCCTAACTCTTTTCCAACCATCCCCAGCACTAATCAGCATTGCACGCGGCGGTAATATGCAACACGTGGTCCAACCATCTCAGTCGATGAAGATTCACAACCTTATCGACTGATTCACCGTCATTCCCTAATACCCCGCGTCTAACCTCAATATTACTTACCCGGTGATCCCAGCAGATGCGAGCAATATTTCTAGGACATCTGTGATCAAATACTAGTGACTTACGAGTATCCTCTACTCCCAATGGTCACGTTTCTCAGCCGCAAAGTAAAACAGAACAGATTTCTGCGCAGCATACTCGTCTCTTAATTGATAAACGGATACCTCACCTTCGCCATAAGTGATGTAGGTTGGCAAAAGTCAAACGAGCTTGTTGAATCCATGCAGAGATTTCGTCAGACACCAACCGATTAGGGCTATGTCGAGCCTATATCGAGCCCACATAGCTTAGTCTAGCTTCAGGATAAACTAATTTATCCATTCTACTCAAGCTACATTTTGACCTTGTTAATCATTCGCTTATCAACCTTGACTATTTTTATGTAAGCGTGTGTGCATTTCCTATCTTACTCATCACATGCCTGTAAATTATTTTGTTCGGCTATAAACATCGATCAACGCTCGACTAAATCGAGCTGGCTCACACACGTTCTCCTTTGTGCGTCATTTCGTTTCGGTTTGTTTCTCTTATCGTTTGTCTGGATCAACGATTGTATGCAACACATATATTCGAAATCCATTTTCGTATTTGACTTATTTAATTCCATTATTTACTAACGCGATTTAAGCCGATGATTGTATACGAGGATTAGAGACATGTATATTTCGACAGCAATCATTCGATAATGATCATTCATACGATCGACCTGGAGTCAGATACAGGGCCATTAAACTGCAATAAGGATTTAATCTTATTGAACATCATACTTTAAGAGGAAATCAGAAGTTAAATAACCCCACACCAACAGATGGACATAACTTATAAAATAAATTCAATCACGAGAAATCAAATCAATATTAAATAAACACCTTCACCTTGTGCTGAGAATTCTATATTGTACCAAAATATAATATTGAATAAAGCCATTAATAATAATAATAATAGTCAGTTATCCTAATCTAAGCGCAATACATAAAGCTGATATTATTTTCGCTCATGGGTAAGAAAACGAAGTCTCTATTTGAAAGTATGCACTGTTTCTGCTATCTGAGTTAAATAAAAATACTTTTTTAAGGCTGAATATTTTAATTCGAGTCATTTTATTTCCTATCGGCGTAAAGGAAATTCTACGTTACTGTTTTTATGGTTGAAAATAATGTTATTAATTTCAACCTGATAGAAATAGTTTTTCTTAGAAATAATATTCTTGAAACACTTATGTATTAAATGAACAATATATCGACCGTAAAGTACTTACTGTACCTTAAGTTATTACATTTTTGGTGTGAATCCCTACACATAAACTAGATCTGAATATGTAGGTAATTTATAGAAAATCGTATTAAATAAAGATGGAATATGAAAACGGTCAAAAATGTAACAAACCTTTTAGGGAATTTGTAGACTTAGAAGGGGGAGTAAACTGTACTACTTTGGTTCCACCAAACAAAATCTGGGTCTTATGATCATCATCGAACGTAAAGTGTTCATCTGCTTTGAGAACCTCACAAGGATCCTATAAGTAAAAACGTCCTAAAATAGACCTGATGTTTTCTTTAATGAGAAGACGTTTACTCAAAAAATATAAGTCAGAAAAACAAAACTAGTGACTACGGTAAATGTAATTGTAGTAAATCCTGCATATCACAAAAGTGTTAGTTGTTCACTATAAACCTCTAGTATGACGGGCAACAGTGGGCAGGAAAGTAATAGAATATGGATGATACAATCTAGCTTTATTCAAATACATATATATAGCTCATTATATTGATGTGTTGTGAAAACTTCAACCAGGATACAATTGGACAAATTCCCTCATTAGTTATGATTGATGGTCGACTAAGACATGTAGTCGATGGAACAAAGCATTTACCTTTGTCTAATCTATCTGACAGTGTTAAAACTACCCGCAAGACACAATGCATATAGGCGTCTTTCCGTAGAACATATATTTAATTCCTCTTGAGTTACAATTAGCAGAAAAAATAGAGTACGAGAGTGTAAAGACCAGCACACTCAGTTTATTGGGCATAATACTAATTAAGGTAAAATCTTAACATTAACAAAAACGAATATTGACTCACTTTGCTAACAGGAACTGATTCTCCAGTGAGCATTGATTCGTCCACAATGCATGTACCCCTTAAAAGGAGTAAGTCAGCAGGAATGCAGAATTTTTGATCATTCTCAGATATAGAAATAATATCACCAGCGATCAACTGGTCCGTCCGTACACGTACCCACTTCTTTTGACGATAAACCTTTAAGATTTTATACACAGTAAGTTACAAAAATTTAGCCCAGCTATCTATGAACTGTACATGATTAGAGATAAAATCCTAGTTGTGACATGACTATCTATCAATTTTGTGACAACGCATATATACATACACATATACACACACCACATGCAAAACAGACTCACTGGAGAATTTTTTCTCAAGGTTTGCGAGCTACATATTGCTTTAAGGGAAAAACTACTTACCAAGTCCAAGTTAACGTACTGGGTCTTGAAATACACCTTTTTTGTAGAGGCTACTTACATTAGCTGAGTACCAAACCGCAGTAAATAGGACGGAGCTTGAATTTACGATCACTGGTTGAAATCCTAATGCTTTAACAAATACCCGGACATTCGCTTTTCGTCCTCTCATTTTCGTAAACAACACCCCCGCCACGAGAAGGCAATGAGTAGGACTTCCCTGGCAGAGGCTGTATACGCGCGGCCGTGTGAGAGTATTTCGAGAGGGAGAGCGGACTCACCCCACTCTCGGCCGTACCAGGGCATTCGGGGGCGCTTTAACCAGATCACAAACCAATGGTGCACATGGGCTCCAGTATCCTGAGGGAACAAATGGCGTATGAACCAATCCTTGGTCACCGGCTACCATGGGATTGCATCTCCTTACGATGCTCCACTGCCTTGTGGGTTAGACCTTTAGGTCAAAGGCTCGGGGAGTGGCCCCCTAAGAAAACCACCTGCTTCGGTTTGGGCACCCGGGCAGTATCACAGCCCACACACAAACGATGAACTCTATGTCTTTGGCAACTACTTTTATCGCTCCGAAAAACAAAAACAATCAATCGATTCAAATAATTATCATTACTATTATTGTCATTATTAATACCATTATTATTACTATTATTGTCGTCATTATTATTATTATTATTATTATTATTATTATTATTATTATTATTATTATTATTATTATTTCCCACATTATTCACCCTCTTTCATACTTATACAGCGGCTCGTCTTTGGTGGAAATCCGACTGTATCTAAACGTTCTCGAGTCACTGTCCGGTTGAAAGTTGTATGTTACCACCGAATACGAGGACTGAAGCAGATTTTCTGAAACCACGTGCGCCATTCAAACTGGCTGCCTTCAACGTTCGCACACTTATGCAGGTTGGTCAACAGATAGGGTTGGCTATGTCTTTGGAAAGTCTTAATATCGACGTGTGTTGTCTATCCGAGACCCGTACTCAAGACTCTGGCGAAGTACTACAAATTCGCTCTACATCTGTCACTTCAAAAAGCTTGTTTTACGTGCGCTTATCCGGGGACCCTGTGGCATCTTCGTCTGGTCTTGCAGGCGTTGGTGTCGCACTAAGCGCTAGAGCTGAGGCAGCACTAGTCGATTGGATCCCCATTAACAGTCGGTTATGTGCTGTTAGATTAGAAAGTTCCATCAAAGTGAGAAGAAATCGGCGTGAGAAACGATGTCTTTTCGTCATCTCCGCCTATGCCCCGACAGATTGCAGCCCGGATGCAATCAAGGATGAGTTTTACCACCAATTATCTGTTCTTCTCCAGAAAGTGCGTTCGACAGATATTGTAGTACTAGCCGGAGACTTGAATGCTCAGGTCGGGCGTCTAGGCACAGAAGAGAGTCGTTTAGGTGGCCGATGGGGACTCGTTGGTCGCAGGTCAGATAACGGGGACCGTCTACTGCAACTTTGCACAGACCACAACCTGTTTCTGGCTAGCACTAACTTTCGGCACAGTCATCGCCGATGTGCCACCTGGCGTCCTCCCTCTGCATCTCAAGCCTGGACTCAGATTGATCACATCGCGATCAGCTACCGCTGGCGTGGTTGTGTAAAAGACTGCCGCTCCTTTTGGAGTACCTATCTGGACTCTGACCATGCCTTGGTCTGCGCCAATCTTGCCTTACTTTTCAGTGGACAACGAAGTGAACGCCATCAACGGATTGATGTTAGCAAGCTGGTTGCAACTTCTGTTGCAAGTAAGGATCGAACCGAGCTAGCCTCTAGGCTAGCTACCACTCCACCGAAAAGTATAGATGAGCATTGGTTGCAATTGCATGACGCCATGAAAATGGCGGGAACAGTCAGTTGTGGGTTTGCGAAACGTCCCGCTTTTAAGCACTGGGTTTCTTCTGGTTCCTTACAACTCATTGAAGCCCGTCGGTCTACTCCGGGTGACCGTGAGTTTGACCATAAACGAAGGATGTTATGTAAGGAAATCGGGCAAAGCTTGCGTAAGGACCGAGAAGCCTGGTGGTCGATGCGTGCTAATGAGTTGGAAGCAGCAGCTGCATCTGGTAACTGCCGGAAGCTCTTCCAGCTCATCCGAGCCACTGGCAGCAAGAAGTCTGGTGTGAGTGAAACAATCTGCGAGGATAATGGGATGCCAATCACTAACATCCATCGACGTCTTGGACGGTGGGCAGAATTTTTCGAAGGGCAGTTCAACTGGCCTGCTGCTCAGGCAACATCAGTCAGACTGTCCTGCCCTCCATGGCCGGTGACGACTGATCCACCAAACGAGGAGGAAGTCCGCAAGGAACTCCAACTCTTGAAGCGATACAAATCACCTGGCCCAGATGACTTACCTCCGGCTCTTTTTAAAGATGGTGGTGACTTTTTGACTAAGGAATTGACGACGTTGTTCACAAAGGTTTGGGAACTAGAGAGTGTGCCAACGTCATGGAATGAGTCGATAGTTGTCCCTATCTTTAAAAAGGGTTCACGTCGTTCCTGTAACAACTATCGGGGGATAAGTCTACTTCCGATTGCGTCCAAGCTATTGGCTTCCGTCATTCTTCGTAGGTTGTTCAAAACCCGAGAAAGATTGACTCGCGAGGAGCAGGCTGGGTTTCGTTCTGGTCGAGGATGTATTGATCATATCTTCACCCTCCGCCAAATGTTAGAACACCGCCATACTTATCAAAGGCCAACAATCGTAGTGTTTCTTGACATCAGGGCTGCCTTCGATTCGTTGGACAGAACTGTTCTCTGGGATTGTCTATTGAAGAAGGGTGTGCCTGAGAAGTTTATTAACATCCTAAAAGCCCTGTATAAAAACACCTCAGGCAGAGTGAGGGCATACAACCACCTCTCTCCATTGTTCCATTCGAGTAGTGGGGTTAGGCAGGGTTGCCCAATCTCACCATTCCTCTTCAACTTTGTCATCGATGACATTCTGGAAACAGCTCTGATGAATGTAAGTAATGGTGGTGTGGATCTGTTGCCTGGAGAAAGACTTCTCGACCTTGAGTATGCGGACGATATTGTCTTACTGTGCGATAATGCCCAATGCATGCAATCCGCACTTAATCAGTTGGCAATCAGTGTCCGTAGGTATGGTATGTGCTTTGCACCTTCGAAGTGCAAAGTACTTCTACAAGACTGGCAGGATTCCAATCCTGTACTCACCCTGGATGGTGAACAGATAGACGTAGTCGAGAAGTTTGTGTATCTGGGTAGCTGTATAAGTGCTGGTGGGGGTGTGAGTGATGAGATCAATGCACGAATAGTGAAAGCCAGAGCGGCTTATGCCAATCTGGGCCATCTATGGCGCCTTCGTGATGTTAGTCTGGCCGTAAAAGGTCGGATCTACAACGCGTCGGTGAGAGCAGTTTTGCTCTATGCTTGTGAAACCTGGCCTCTCTGAGTTGAGGACGTTAGACGACTCTCTGTGTTCGATCATCGCTGTCTCCGAAGGATTGCTGACATTCAGTGGCAACACCATGTCAGTAATGCAGAGGTTCGGCATCGTGTGTTCGGGCACAGAGATGATAATTCAATTGGTGTCACCATCTTGAAACACCGACTTCGGTGGCTTGGACATGTTCTACGAATGTCGTCCCAGAGAATTCCACGTCGTGCATTATTTGCCGACTCTGGGACTGGTTGGAAGAAGCGGAGAGGTGGTCAGTGCATGACATGGTGTCGTGGCATGAAAGAAAGCTGCAAAGGACTGGCGTGTGTTGGTTCTTCACGACTCCCTGGTTGGGGTCTGAGAGATGGTGCTACACAGTGGCTAGAGACGTTATCAGATATGGCTCAGAATAGAAGCCAGTGGCGATCCTGCTGTAACCTTCTTTTACTTTCTTCATAAACAGTGGTTGTGTCTCCCCTACCTGAAAGATTTCTTCCGATTGTACCTTTGCGTTCCCTGATTACTAGCACATTACCTTACACCAATCTCTTCGTTATTGTTCTCTCTTTTTTTTGTTGCGCTCCTTAGCTTTTTTTTCTTTGTATTCCTCTCGAATTTTCATTGTTTTGTGTGGCGCATATATATTGGCGCTCCCCTGTACCAATATTCATGTGTCCAAATAAATAAATAAATAAATAACAAATACCCTCTATTGGACAAACTAAAACATATAAGACCAGATGAAAAATATAAAATTCCAAATATCGGACAAATCTATATGTACAGCTTTAATAATGCAGTACCAACGTTGTTGCTCCATAAAGACTCGAAATGAATTTGTACAAACATATAATACAGAAACTTGTCATATATGAAACAAACTGCTCACAATCTAATAACTGCTAGTATTGGAACACTTACACATAACACACTCAACAAACCCTAATTTTACCGTGGTATTAAAAATACTATTGAAAAAAGCACTTACATAGATGTTGTATGGCTTTTCAGACATAGAGCGTATTTCAGATAGATTTTTTAATTGCTGTTGTACTAAGCTGGCTTCAAAGAGGCATAGCATACCCAAAGCAATCAGTGGGTAGATCCAATATTCATCAAGGCACCACAGCCCAACTGAGAATACTTGGAAGACAAAAAACGGGGCAGTTGCACGCTCTTTGAACAGCTCAGCGAAAGATGGAACATCTAAATGGAGTCTGACAGTTAATAAGTATATAACAGTGCTACTCATTCAATCCATATTTACGCTGTGCTTCAACCTGATGATCAACCGTCTCATAACCCTTCCAACTAAGATATGCTTTCATACTCCAATCAACTGGAAATTCGATCGGATGGAAACTGTCTTTCTCGTCAGTCCTAAATACATACTTTAATCGTTGGAAATGAAAGGCGTGTATAAATCCGGAGGAGCGACACTAAATTTAATGTTTAAATCGGTAAACAACATTCTAACCTCTTGTTTTTCAATCTTAACGATCATTGGATAACCTGTGTTAGGGGTCGGAACTACCTTGACATACTCAGACGCCGCAACACTGGATTGCTGGGAAAGGTTCGCCTTTTATACCAACACTTACTTTTTTGCAAGTCATAAGACACTTAAATTCAACAAACCAGTGACAGCAGAGACAGACAATTATTTGTACAAATCCAATGGCTGCGATAACTATAAGACCGAATTCCATATACTCCTGAAAACCAAGAATATTGGTCCAGTATCCAATCCAAATAGAATAAAAAAGTATGAATGGTAAAACATATCCGTGAAGTAGTGTCGGGCGTAGAGTATAAAGTTCAACACTCGCAATATCTGCATCTGTCTGAATCATTCGTACGCTCTTAAAAAGCCGCTAAAAGCAGAAGGTTGACCTTCGGAAACCACATGGGTTATGACAGAACGACGTGGCAATGAGACCGAAACATTATTAATGTTTGAATTTTGAAGGATAATTTACCATGGTTGGTGAAATTCAGGTTTTGATTTTTCAAACCGCAAGGTGTTATTGGTTACTATGTTGTCATCAAAATCACGTATGTCACCTTGATTAGCTCACCAATGTCCTTAAAGAATTGTATGGTAAATCAGTGTGATATGTTTTATGAGGCCTCTAGTTAAATATAAATTTTCCTCCTAAACAACTCCGAGGAATGTAAGTAGACCATCTCAGTTGGTAGAGTGATTCAGGAATTAACTTGCATCACATTTACGACAGGGAATACGCCGTTCTTCAGTGCACTTTGACCAGCCTAGATGAAACTCATCTTTGTAAGTTTATTGGATAAAACACTAGCAAAGCTTACAATGAAACCCTTATACTATGCAAACGGCCATAGACAATTGAGAATGCATCTACATTATGGTGACATATATTCAGTGGTTTTTTGTAACAACAAAAATAAAAACCACATTTTTTCTCTAATTTGTCACACTTTATTTGTAACCACATTTTTATCCAACTAATACAGAGTGCCCAGCAGTAGGGTATATCGGTACTGATTTCGAAAGGACCCAGACTTCCGACAATTATAGATGAAGTCACAGATACTACCAATCTATTGCAGAGGGGTTGTTATGAAAAATATTCCATATAACAGTAATAGAGGGGTTGTACCCATTACTCAGTGCGTTAAAGCAAGCTTAACATTGAAAAGCCGGAAATCTGCTACCAGTGTCTAGTGTATGTTTGCTGTTTTGGCCATAAAAGGAAGTCGAAGGGTCATGATCAGGGAGTAAAAAGGTAATTAACTGTTATTAAGCTCACTTTTTATAGATTATATTTCACCACTCGCAAATTTGTGTTTTCTGACGGTGTGATGTCAACTGGTACCTAATATGTTCACCCTTATGATGAAAAATACCTGCAAATTTTCACCTTCATATTCGAATTAGTTTTGGACAACTGTCTTACAGTCTGAGTGCTTCGTACGCCCTGGGAGACTAGATTCCTACATTATTCGTAGTTCCATTATAACTTTCTCACGCAGTAAGTTCAAATTAGACACTAGTTTTTCTAAATAAGCCTTTTAAGCTAATATCCGTATTCTCAATTTCAGTTAATCGATGAAGACATGTACCACGTGCATCTGCTGTATACTGCCATTTTACTCTAATTCTAACTGTTATATCTTACTTTTGAATAATAAAATTGCTATATGCTGCAAATACAGACTTATTTGTTTTGATGGAGGTAGGGGGGTTCATGGGATTTTCACTAAAGAGCTAAGCGAGTGCGTAAACCAGTGTAAGGTACCATACGGGGTGCATTTGAGTTACTAATGTTCCATTAGTGAGGGTAGGGGCATTGCTTGCTTGTCATATGGCATTTGAATTAGAAGCTATAAGATAAGAAGCAGGTACGGTTAGGATGTGTAACGCGTGTTCATCCATCAACTGGCGTGGCAACCCATGGTGGTTAGAATAAGCTATGAGAGGACCCGAGTCTGTGGGTCTCCCAAGGAAATGGCGAAGATATCCACCAAATCACCTTATGAAGAGCGCCTGCAATCACTTAACCTCCACTCATTAGAGTATAGATGTCTTAGAGGTGACCTAATGGCTTACAATAACCTTAACACTCCTAGACATACCCTAAAACACCTAATTAAGCTTAGTTCCAACACTAGCCTAAGGGGTAGCACCCAGAAACTAGAGACACAACATAGCAGAATGGACTGTAGGCACAACTTCTATCCCTTAAGAGTTGTCAAATGCTGGAATTTTCTGCCGGCCGAGCTAGTCCAAGCGACTTCCCAGGAGTCCTTTAAGAGGCAACTGGATTTATTCTTAAGGACTAAGTACCGATTTCTTTTTCCTCTTTTATTGTTAACATACCTAGTTTCCTGCCTTGAGGTATTGGTGATCCCCTGCTACTAGACACGGAAGCCTGTTAAGCGAAAGCTTCTATTCAGTCCACAACCAGTTGAACACATGAACTAGGTGCTGGAAGGCTCGCTTATCACAAGTTTCTTGCAACGATTAAGTAGATTAAACAAAGTAGCATTAGGTTCAAAAATTTATTGAGGAACTTTCATTAAGAATCGAATATCAAACAAAGGTTTAAACCAAGTTCCCGTTTAAAAGTTTGTATTCGAATTGGGATTACCAATTGTAGCGTGGCGTCGAGTTGAGATTAACTATGAACACCGCTACCAAGAAACACGTGCCAATTAGATCAGAAGGCGTAAGAAGCTCGTTCCAAATGACTCCATAAAATCCCCGAGAAGCCAAATATCAGAAGACAGTTAATGGACCAAGTCGAGGTTTATTAGCTGGCGATCTCGTGGCATCGAAAGGATACCGAGATCGTGCCAGGATACAACCTTGGTTACAGAAGGTAACCGAATTCGCGCGAAGTTACAATCAAAGTGTAAGAGAATGGAAGAACAGAATGGCTATAATTAGCACAGTTAAACAAAAGCACATTAAAACAAACACTGGTACAGTTGGTTATAATAATAATTGTTTTTATTAAACCAGTCGTGTTCTCGTGATAAACGTGAGTCACTACAAGTTGTATTGGTAATGTTAAGCTGCAGTTCTTGTTGTTTTTTTCCAAACGAAAGAGTAAAAGAAGTCACAAAATACTGGAAGTGGTTGTGAGACTAAAATGGAAGTCCAGCATCCTTTTTATCATCTGCTGTTCGTTGGATCTCCCGTAAACAGTTCCAAGGGTGAAACAGTTTTTAATGTCTGTGAAGGCTCACTACTGTTTCATTCTAAAGGAAAAATATTGATGAATTTGGTCAGAAATGTGGAATATATAAATAACCAAATCACATGTTTTTTAGCAAAGAATTTATGCAGTTGTGATTTACCTTGAGTTTATCAATATTAGATAAGGTCAGCTACTATTACTTGCGCAAAGCATAACATGGGCTTAGTATCGTATTGCAATCCTGTTATTATTTTGCTCCCATTTAAGTATTCCCATGCATCTGCGTCTAGTTTAACAGGAAAACATACAAGCAGAGTTAGTGTCTGATAAACTAAAAGTCTCAGTTGTCAAAAACATTATCAACATTTGTCCACAGCCAGCTGCATTTAATTGAGACACAGAACACTCATCTTCTAAGACTGTATACTGCTGTTTTGCGGGCAACTAAAAGCTCAGACGCTTAGCTAACTTGCTACCGATGTTATTGCTGGGGAAATTGTTTAATGACAGTGATCATGAAATATGGTCAGTGATAGATGTACAGTTTAGAAATAAACACCAAACATACTTATCGCTATCTTATAATGTATGACAGCAACAGCATCAAATGCACGTTTTTTCCTATTTTTAATCAGACTGATCTGAATTCGTATACACATTGGAACCAGGCAACTCTACTCACTAAACTGATCTGTTTCGTAACAGGCTTCAAGCACTATACTTAAGTATATCATAATTCTTTCAACTAAACTGAATTATACGATAACAAAGAACACTAAACTGAGCAAGTGTCATAGTTATTGTTTCACTTGCAAAGACATGTTGGTCAAAGTAGTTAAATGGACATAATTAAGCCGATAAAACCAAAACACGAAATATAGGCCAGTTGAATTTACCTAAGAAAAAAAGAAGGATACATATATACTGCTTTCATACTGAAGAAAACAGGCAGTTGTTCATAGAAACATAGTTTACAGTACAACAAACCTTTCTTCAGTAAAATCATACACTGACAGTCTATCTGGAAACAATCAACTATGTGAATAAACTCACTATAACTGGAGATATCATCCCAGCGTGCAATGGACATACAGTGTAACGCAGTCCGACGTGGCGAATAAAAATTAAAAACAGATCAAAATTAACTACATAATCTGGTTATTTAATTAAAAATACATTATGAAATGGCAAAATCTGTGGTTACTTGAACGCACAAACGACAGTGTGCGATACATTAAGTTTACATGGTTGCGTTACGGATAAGATCACCCGAAAAGGATGTACTTTTTTCGGGAATATCCACAATAAGAAACTGGAGTTCACCATCTCAGTCGTGGACTGCCAAGGACAAAATACGTGGAGGAAAATGGACCACTCAATCGAAAAACCCTGCCTGTTTATATAAGGCTTATCCAGACAAGGATAACAAAAACGATTGCGTTTTAAAAAGAAAATACCAACTGCCTGTATATGAATGAGCCAGTTCCATAACCTAAAACCTTACGTATTGCGTGAAATAAATGGTAGTAAAACTGCTCACCTGATAGCAATAAAAGAAATATTGAGCCCTCCTCGAAATCCTACTTAAGAACGGGAGATCCTAGAAATGTCGTCACCACAAAATGACAGGAAAAAAGGAATGAGAGGCGAAGCTGCTCTATTCGCAATCTCCTTCTAAGCAGCTTATCATGAATTTATATGGTCTAAAACCACAGGTTGTCTGTTTGGAATTAGCTACATAATACATACTTCTGACAATTGTTAGAACGGCCGGAACCTGTTCATCTACGACAACTTAATATGTTGATCTATAAGGGCTTCTGTCCTGCTAAAATCAAATTCATGGAACATAGATATGATGAATATGACTCCATGAAAGCTCTGTTTTTTAACGTCACCGGAAAATTAAGTTTATTCGAAAATTTAAAATAATAAACCCTATTGAGAAATGGGAAGACTCTGTCTCTCTTAGACTAAGAAAAAACTCTTGACTGAAAACAGACCCAGCTCCCTTGAGAAAAGGTAGACACGTCTATCTCATTCATACTTTTACTTGTATTGATGACCTTAAACATTCTGCGGGAGACGGTGGTTGGGACTCGAAGAACTGGATTCTCAGGCTTTGAAGGACGACCTATCAAAGGTGGGCTGAATACTCATTAAGATGTTCTAATATATAAAATTTGCGCTTCACATATCAGTCTGTTTTACATGTATCATTCAGAACCAGCAGTCAACTCAAGGTTATGCGAAACCACATTCGCCGAACGCCATAGTCTGCGCACT